GTGCGGGAAGGCTGCTATGGCTGTGTGTGTGGTGCTGAAGTCCCCAGAGGAGACAGTCGTTCCCACACTCACCCCTCCATCCTTGAAGGCTGGCTTGATGGATGATCAATCAATCTTGTTGGGGGTCACTGCAAGAGCCACCCAGGAGCCGTTTTCAGGGACCACAGCCTGGCTGGGCAGGGCAAGGGCCCTCTGGCCTTGGGGAGAGCCGTGAGGGGGAGAAGTTACTGGGGAGACATAGGGCGCACCAGGTGGGCAGGGGCCTGGAGAGTGACGGGTGTGATGTGAGGGAAGGGCTGCTGGGTGGTCGAGGGTGGGGTTGGCAAGGGGTCTTGGTGAGTCCTTCAGCATTGTCATCTTGCTGGTTAGTGGCAGCTGAGATTGCTGAGGTTTGAGGAGGGCCAGGAGGGACAGGAAGGCCCTTCAGAAGGGAGCACCCAACCCCTCAGGACCCCCAGCCCCGGCCGTGTCCCCGATGTCTCCAAGCCCCAGGGGCCCGAGCTGTCATCACACCTGTTTTCCAAATGCTGAATTGAGGGCTCAGAGACGGTCAGTGATTCCTCAGGCTGCACAGCAAGCCCCAGGCCTGGGGTGTCTGCTGAAAACCTAGGCTCACAGCTCTGCCCTCTCTGTGTCATCTCCATCCTGAGATGGTGACAGAGTCCCTTCACAGTGGCTACCCTCAGCACAGGGGCCATAGCAGAGTCAGGGGCTGGACCCTGTAGCCCAGAAGCTCGGGGATCATCGGCCTACCCCCACCCTGCCCCCCACTTCTGTTTTTTTATGGCAAGCAATTCAGGGCCACTCGTGCCCAGGGCTCGCCGTGGGTAAGTGCGTTGCAAGGCACAGGGGCAGCAAAAGCGTTCAATGCCTGTAGCAGTTCCTATGGGCCCACTTTTGAGGTACGAGTGACACTTTTTCCGGAATAAACAGTCCCAGCATCTGCAATAACACTGGCTCACACCTCCCGAGGGCTGTCAGGAGCCCTTTTCTGTGCGGGCTCACCTAACCCTCATGACAGCCTGGCAAGGTCAGTGCTGCGAATCCTCATTTTACAGGTGACGGAACTGAGGCAGAGGTTCAGTAACCTGGGCATGTCTTAAAGACGGGCTGTGGGGAGCTGAGCGTCAAACCCAGGCTGCCTGGCAGTGAGACCTTGCTTCAAACCGCTAGGCCTGGGGTTACAAGCTTGAGTGTGCTCCGGCATCCCCTGGTGGGCTTGGGCAAACACACGCAATCCTTCCCTCCCCAAGGATTGCTGGGCCCCACCCCCAGCATCCTGGATTCGGTGGACCAGGGTGGCACCCAGGAGTGTGCATTTCTGCAGGTTCCCAGGAGGCGCTGCTGGTCCCGGCCGGGGGATCCCACTTTGAGAACCAGTGCATGATGCTTTGCATCCCTAGAGCCCGACGGTCGGTGGGGTGGGTGCATTCATCACGAGTTCTGCCCTCCAAGATGCACTAGTGCTTTAAAACACCCATCTCTGATCCCAAATTTGACACTGTTACCTGAAAGCGTGGCTTTTTGAGTTTCAGAGGGACAGTGTATCTGTTAGTAGGAGGAGGACGGGGTGGCACTGTCCCAGGAGGGGTTGGGGAGGGGTGTTCACAAAGGGTCCATGCTGTGTGGAAGGTGCATGGGCGAGGAAGCCCGGGGGTGCCACCGTGGAGCCAAGGCCATTCCTTGGGTGGGGGCTGGGTCCTGGAACCTGGAGAGAGGGGGTGCGGCCCCTGCCCCTGACAGGAGGGCCAAACCCCAGTGCCTCTCCCACATCTCTTGCTGGTCCTCCCGTTGACTAAACGCACCCTGCAGCCAGAGGGCAAAGTGTGTAAGTGTGTGCCTGTGTGTGTATCTGTGAGTGTGTGTGTGAATGGGAGTTTGAGAGTGCATATGTGTGTGTGTGTGTGAGTGTGTGAGCTTCCATGCGTGACAGTACAGAAGTGTGTGTTCATGAGTGTGTGTGTGGTTGTGTGTGTGTGTGTGTCATTGTATGAGTGTGTGTGATTGCGAATGTGTGTGTATGTGAGTGTGTGAGTGTGTATGAGTATGTGTGATTGTGTTTGAGTGTGAATGTGTGTGTGTGATTGTGTGTGAATGTGTATATATGTAATTGTGTGTATATGTGTATGTGGGTGAGTGTGTGTATGAGGGTGTGTGATTTTGAGTGTGAATGTGTGATTGTGAGTTTGTGTGTACGTGATTGTATGTGGGTATGATAGTGTGATTGAGTGTGTGTGAACATGTATGAGTGTATGAGCATGTTGAGTGTGTGAGCATGCATGTGAGTGTGAATGTGTGTGATTGAGTGTGCTTGTGAATGTGTGTGACTGTGTATGATTGTGTGTGTGAGTGTGTGAGAGTATGTGTGAGTGCATTGTGTGTTAGCGTGAGTGTGTTCGAGTCCGTGTAAAGTATGTGTGACTGTGTGTGGGTGTGTGAGATTGAGTATGAGTAAGGGTGTATGTGATTGTGAGTGTGTGATTCTGTGGGTATGAGTGGTTGTGAATGTGTGTGAGTGTGAGTTTGTGTGTGATTGAGAGTGAGTGTGAGAGAGAGAGTGTGTGTATGTGCAGGTGCTGGGAGGATGTGATCCACAGAGGTCAGCCTTGGGTCACAGCAGGATGGGGTGGGGCAGTGGCCCTGGGGGCTGTGAGACCATCCCCCATGGGTGCTGTAGTCTGGGGGTCAGGAATGAGGTCAGGACCCAGCTCCAGGGAGGCTGAGGAGGGACCTCCCTGGAGACTTGACCCTCTGTCCCTGATCCAACCTCTGGCCCTGCCCCCTCGCCTATTTTCACGCTGGGATCCGTGGCTCTTGGGACACAGAGGCCAAACAGTGCTGGTGGAAGGTGGGAGAGGCCTGGCCCTTAGTCCTGTCTGTATCTCTCATTAGCTGGTGACCTTGAGCAGATCAGGGGGTCACTGTCACCTCCTCCCTGGGAGGGGAGAGATTCAATGATGTAACATCGGGAAAGGACCTGGTGCTGGGCACGGAGGAGGCCCTCCTGAGCGAGTCACCTCTTCTCCGGCTCGCGGGTAGAAATAGGGTTTTTGGAAGTCTCGCTCCCTGCCCAGGAGGGAGTTGTCTTCCTGGTGCAGGAAGAGGCAATGGCAGAGCCTTTCCACCTGCCCTGAGTTCCTGCAGCTGATTCCACCTGGCTGGAGGGTCCCCATGGCTGTGGAGGCTTCTTGGCTGCAGCTGCAGGTCTGTCTGGGAATTGGTGGGGAGCCTGGACTCTGCTCATGGCCAGGAGGAGCTCTGCCCTGCCTCTCATCCTGCCTTGTGTCCCTGCCCTGCAGTCACCTGAGCTTGGACTCCAGGGATCAACGCTGCCTTGGGTGGGCAAGCCTCAGCCCTGGGATGGGCAGTTTGGGAAACTGCGGGAGAGTGTGGGCAAAACCTCTCAGCAGGAGGTCACAGCAGGACGTGTCCAGCGGCAGCCCCAGCCCCTCTCGGACTGGACTGGAGATCTGGAGCTGGACTCTGGTCCCAGCCTTCGTCTGTCCCTTCGTGGGTGGGCAGCTGGAGGCCAGGGTCCCTCCTCTGTGCCACAGCTGCCTGGTGGAGCCCCTGCTGTCCCAGCTGGTGAGGCCCTGCCATTTGCTGCTCTCAGCTTGGCGCCGCTGTGCTGGGTCTGTGCTTTCTGGATTTGTTCAGCACAAGGGGGTGGGCTGAAGTCAGAGGGGACACAGGGCTTCCCACACAGCACGAGCCCCAGGAAAGAGGAAAAATATAGTCCTCCATCGCGAGAGCCTCCATCTGGGGGTGGCTGGCCTGGGGCCAGGGTGGCTGGACGGGGCGGGCAGTCTCTGAGTGCTGAGCCAGGGTCCGGCCCACCAGGCGGCGGGTTAGGGGCTCCTGGCGAGGCCTGGGCAGAGGGCGGTACCGAGCCTGGACAATATTCCTGGTGGAGTGGGGACCTCTGATGAGGGGCTGGGGAACCCCTGCCACCTGCTTGCCCCCAGCAGGTGGGAGGGGTTCTGGCGGGATCTGCCAGGCTTGCTGCACCTGAGGCTGGAGGGGAGACACCGGCCCACACCAGGTGTGCCTGGCCCTGGTTCTAGGTAGCAAGCCCAGAGCTGGGAGAGCAGGACAAACTTCTTCTTTCCACTGAGGCCCCCCAGACATAACCTGACTCAGTGGGACACGAGCGTTGGAGCCTTGTCCTCTCCCCTCAAATTTGCTTCTGTAGAGGGAGCCCTCCTCACCCCTCGGTCAGGGTAGGCCAGGGGTGAACCCCTGCTCGGGGGGTGCTGGCCCGTGTGGCCGTCTTTGGAGGGTCCCTCCCTCTGACCCTTCCCCCTGAAGGGTCTGAGTCCTTTCTCCACCTGCTCCGAGCCCGGTGGGGTCTGGATGGCTGGCTTAGGGCACCTGTCCCTGGCGTGTTCCCCTCCCCTGGTTTATGCAGGCTCTGGGCTGGAGAGGCCTTGGAGGGGACCTGAAGGAGCTTGGCAGGGATGGGCCTGGGGTTTTCACCTCCTCCTCTGAGAGCAAACACTCACCAGTGTGAGTAATATGATGCCGGGGAGCCACTGACTTCACAGCGAATGGGCCCGTGTTCACCTCACCTTGCCGTGGGCGAATTCCTGCTCAGCCGTGTGCCCCAGCAGCATCAGGGCTTGGGACATCTCTGAAGCAAGGCGGGGAGGGCTGGGGTGGAGAGGACAGATGGGTCTGGGCTTGGTCCTGAATTCTGGACCAGGCGTGACTGTGCCTCGAGGCTACGGTTCCTGTCTGTTGAGGCAGCGTCATTGGTGGTTGTGTCCTGAGGTCTTGGAGGACCAGGAGCCACGCTGTAGCCCATGCATAGGGATGTGTCGGTCATCTTGCCTTTTCCCCTGAGCTCCTGTGCCCTCAAGCCTGGGAGAGTGGCACGGGCACTGTGCTGTGGAGGCCTGGCCATGGGTCTGGACCTCACTCCAGATGGGCTGGCACCCAAAGCTGGGGGTGCAGGAGGGGTGGGTGCTGCCGGCTAGGGGTGGCCGAGGCGCTGACTCTCTGTGTCTCTGTTCCAGGCCCCACGTGTGTGCTGAGCAGGAGCTGACCCTGGTGGGCCGCCGCCAGCCGTGTGTGCAGGCCTTCAGCCACACGGTGCCAGTGTGGAAGGCTGGCTGTGGGTGGCAGGCGTGGTGCGTGGGCCATGAGCGGAGGTAGGTGCAGGGGCCCCAGGGGCCATGTTGGGGGAGGGGCTCTGTTCACACAGAGGGCAGCACTGACCACCTGGGAGCTGGGCAGCTGAGGCTGGGACTCCGTCCTGGTCCCGGGGCCACGCGGACCCCTGCCTGAAGCCCTCATCTGAACCTGAGGCCTCTCCCACCCTCCGGGTGAGGCTGCCATGGGGCTACTCAGATGCTGTAGCCCTCACCTGTTTAGCCAAGCACCTGGCCCAGGAGGATGCTGGCCACGCAGGAGGGGGAGAGTGGTCTCAGCCTGCCAGGGGCCCGGCGGGAGACGGCTGCTGCTTGGCCCTAGGGTCTTGTTCCCAAACACACGTGAAACTTTTTATTGCTCAAGATTTTATTTCAACACCGAACTTGAGTGCCTGTGCACACCTCTCCCCTTTTATAGCCTCAGGCTCTGCAGAGCCAGCCCCACTGCAGAGTGGGTTGTGTGGGGAACTGGCAGCCACCCCATGTCAGGTGGAGGGTTTCCGTGTGTCTGGGGGAGGGAAGGCAGGAACGCGTTCTCAGATAAGAGTGTGGCTTGGCTTCTCAGCCTGGGACCTGTGGAGGAGCTGAGGCCCTGCTCTGTGCTGCTCTCGTGGGCGTGAGGTCCACGCGGGACACCTGCATCTGCCGTGCCCACTCGAGGGGCCCCAGCAGCTTTCCAGTCAATGTGTGTTTGCTGTGCAATTCAGGTGTGTTCAGAGTAGAGGAGAAAAGAACCGTTAAGCAATAATGGCGGTTTTCACTCAGGGACGGTTCTGTCTTGCTACCCCGGGACAGTGGAGATGGGGAGTCAGGTTTGGTGACAGGTGAGCTGGGCAGGTTGAGGGGCCAGGGATGCTGCTCAGCATCTGCAACATGCAGGACAAGCCCCCAGACAGATGACCCAGCCCAGTGCAGCAGGGCTGAGGCTTAGGGACCCTGAGCCCCCAAACAAGAGATCTCAGGAGGGCTGAGGCTTAGGGACCCTGAGCCCCCAAACAAGAGATCTCAGGAGGGCTGAGGTTCATTGGCCCTGAGCAAAAAGAAGAAGAAAGCTCCTCTCATTGTTTTCCCCAAAATAGCAGCTTTCATTCTATCCTGACTGTCATCCGTGTGTGGACGCGGGCCCGTCCCGTGGGTGTAATGTGTGTGTGGACGCGGGCCCTTCCCTTGGGTGTAACGCGTGCGTGGACGCGGGCCCGTCCCGTGGATGTAATGCCTGTCCTGTGGACGCGGGCCTGTCCCGTGGATGTAATGTGTGCGTGGACGCGGGCCCGTCCCGTGGATGTAATGTGTGCGTGGACGCGGGCCCGTCCCGTGGATGTAATGCCTGTCCTGTGGATGCGGGCCTGTCCCGTGGATGTAATGTGTGCGTGGATGCGGGCCTGTCCCGTGGATGTAATGTGTGCGCGGACGCGGGCCCATCCCGTGGATGTAATGTGTGTGTGGACGCGGGCCCATCCCGTGGATGTAATGTGTGCGTGGACGCGGGCCCGTCCCGTGGATGTAATGCCTGTCCTGTGGATGCGGGCCTGTCCCGTGGATGTAATGTGTGCATGGACGCGGGCCCGTCCCGTGGATGTAATGTGTGCGCGGACGCGGGCCCGTCCCGTGGATGTAATGTGTGCGCGGACGCGGGCCCGTCCCGTGGATGTAATGTGTGCGCGGACGCGGGCCCGTCCCGTGGATGTAATGCCTGTCCTGTGGATGCGGGCCTGTCCCGTGGATGTAATGTGTGCATGGACGCGGGCCCGTCCGTGGATGTAATGTGTGCGCGGACGCGGGCCCGTCCCGTGGATGTAATGTGTGCGCGGACGCGGGCCCGTCCCGTGGATGTAATGTGTGCGCGGACGCGGGCCCGTCCCGTGGATGTAATGTGTGCGTGGACGCGGGCCCGTCCTGTGGATGTAATGTGTGTGTGGACGCGGGCCCGTCCCGTGGATGTAATGCCTGTCCTGTGGATGCGGGCGTGTCCCGTGGATGTAATGCCTGTCCTGTGGACGCGGGCCTGTCCCGTGGATGTAATGCCTGTCCTGTGGACGCGGGCCCGTCCCGTGGATGTAACGTGTGCGCGGACGCGGGCCCGTCCCGTGGATGTAACGTGTGCGCGGACGCGGGCCCGTCCCGTGGATGTAACGTGTGCGCGGACGCGGGCCCGTCCCGTGGATGTAACGTGTGCGCGGACGCGGGCCCGTCCCGTGGATGTAACGTGTGCGCGGACGCGGGCCCGTCCCGTGGATGTAACGTGTGCGCGGACGCGGGCCCGTCCCGTGGATGTAATGTGTGCGCGGACGCGGGCCCGTCCCGTGGGTGTAATGTGTGCGCGGACGCGGGCCCGTCCCGTGGGTGTAATGTGTGCGCGGACGCGGGCCCGTCCCGTGGGTGTAATGTGTGCGCGGACGCGGGCCCGTCCCGTGGGTGTAATGTGTGCGCGGACGCGGGCCCGTCCCGTGGGTGTAATGTGTGCGCGGACGCGGGCCCGTCCCGTGGGTGTAATGTGTGCGCGGACGCGGGCCCGTCCCGTGGGTGTAATGTGTGCGCGGACGCGGGCCCGTCCCGTGGGTGTAATGTGTGCGCGGACGCGGGCCCGTCCCGTGGGTGTAATGTGTGCGCGACGCGGGCCCGTCCCGTGGGTGTAATGTGTGCGCGGACGCGGGCCCGTCCCGTGGGTGTAATGTGTGCGCGGACGCGGGCCCGTCCCGTGGGTGTAATGTGTGCGCGGACGCGGGCCCGTCCCGTGGGTGTAATGTGTGCGCGGACGCGGGCCCGTCCCGTGGGTGTAATGTGTGCGCGGACGCGGGCCCGTCCCGTGGGTGTAATGTGTGCGCGGACGCGGGCCCGTCCCGTGGGTGTAATGTGTGCGTGGACGCGGGCCCGTCCCGTGGGTGTAATGTGTGCGTGGACGCGGGCCCGTCCCGTGGGTGTAATGTGTGCGTGGACGCGGGCCCGTCCCGTGGGTGTAATGTGTGCGTGGACGCGGGCCCGTCCCGTGGGTGTAATGTGTGCGTGGACGCGGGCCCGTCCCGTGGGTGTAATGTGTGCGTGGACGCGGGCCCGTCCCGTGGGTGTAATGTGTGCGTGGACGCGGGCCCGTCCCGTGGGTGTAATGTGTGCGTGGACGCGGGCCCGTCCCGTGGATGTAATGCCTGTCCTGTGGATGCGGGCCTGTCCCGTGGATGTAATGTGTGCGCGGACGCGGGCCCGTCCCGTGGATGTAATGTGTGCGCGGACGCGGGCCCGTCCCGTGGATGTAATGTGTGCGTGGACGCGGGCCCGTCCCGTGGATGTAATGTGTGCGTGGACGCGGGCCCGTCCCGTGGATGTAATGTGTGCGTGGACGCGGGCCCGTCCCTTGGGTGTAATGTGTGCGTGGACGCGGGCCCGTCCCGTGGGTGTAATGTGTGCGTGGACGCGGGCCCGTCCCGTGGGTGTAATGTGTGCGTGGACGTGGGCCCGTCCCGTGGATGTAATGCCTGTCCTGTGGATGCGGGCCTGTCCCGTGGATGTAATGTGTGCGCGGACGCGGGCCCGTCCCGTGGATGTAATGTGTGCGCGGACGCGGGCCTGTCCCGTGGATGTAATGTGTGCGTGGACGCGGGCCCGTCCCGTGGATGTAATGTGTGCGTGGACGCGGGCCCGTCCCGTGGATGTAATGCCTGTCCTGTGGATGCGGGCCTGTCCCGTGGATGTAATGTGTGCGTGGATGCGGGCCTGTCCCGTGGATGTAATGTGTGCGCGGACGCGGGCCCATCCCGTGGATGTAATGTGTGTGTGGACGCGGGCCCGTCCCTTGGGTGTAACGCGTGTGTGGACGCGGGCCCGTCCCGTGGATATAATGCCTGTCCTGTGGACGCGGGCCCGTCCCGTGGATGTAATGTGTGTGCGGACGTGGGCCTGTCCCGTGGATGTAATGTGTGTGCGGACGTGGGCCCGTCCCGTGGGTGTAATGCCTGTCCTGTGGACGCGGGCCCGTCCCGTGGGTGTAATGCGTGCGCGACGCGGGCCCGTCCTGTGGGTGTAATGTGTGTGTGGACGCGGGCCCGTCCCTTGGGTGTAATGTGTGCGTGGACGCGGGCCCGTCCCGTGGATGTAATGTGTGCGCGGACGTGGGCCCGTCCCGTGGGTGTAATGCCTGTCCTGTGGACGCGGGCCCGTCCCGTGGGTGTAATGCGTGCGCGACGCGGGCCCGTCCTGTGGGTGTAATGTGTGTGTGGACGCGGGCCCGTCCCTTGGGTGTAATGTGTGCGTGGACGCGGGCCCGTCCCGTGGATGTAATGTGTGTGCGGACGTGGGCCCGTCCCGTGGGTGTAATGCGTGTGTGGACACGGGCCCGTCCTGTGGGTGTAATGTGTGCGTGGATACCGGTGGATTTACTTGTGGGAATTTGGTCTCCTCAGCCAGGTCTCCCGTCAACAGCTCGTGGTGGAAGAGCTCCGTTTCTGGAAGCAGCCAGAAGCCACCTGAGCGCAGGGCTGGAGAGTCCTGGTGGCCCGGCTGAGGAAGTCCCCCTGCCGTGGGGGTGAGATGTCTCCGTCGTGGTCTCCAGCTGGCCTCAAGGCAGGGTGGGAGCAGTGTTGCTGATGTACCAAGTTCCTCAGCCTCCTGGCAGGGCACTGGGGGCAGCCGTGGACAAAGTCCCCCTGCCTGGAGGCCTCCGGCAGGGGATCCCCTCCTGGCATCACCCAATGCAGGGTGTCCGGGCCTCTTCGCCAACGCTCCCTCCCGAAAGGTGGCCGTTCTGCCCCAAGGTCCCAGGCTTGTCACTGGGGAGGGGCTGACGTCCACCTCCGAGGACTCTGGGCTGTTCTCACCTGGCCCCCACTCCTGGGGAACCAGAGGCCTCTTCCCACCCTGGTGCTGGGGGATGGGCGTCTCGTGTGCTTTACTGGAACCAGCCCCAAGTGAAGTGGTGACACACGGCCCGGGCCCCTGTCCCTTTGGGATGCTCCTGGGGCTGTTCATGTGCACAGGGTGCTCCCAAATCCCATGTTTCCTCTTTGTGTCCCCTCCCAAGCCTCTGGGGGCTGAATCCAGCTGTGCAACCTTGGGGGAGTCTCCTCAGATGCCCGGTCCAGACGTCACTCCACGCGGCGAGACTTTGGGTCGAGACTGGCCTGGGGCCTGCTCCCTTCATCCCTCCCAAGAGCCAGCCCTGTCTCCCGACCTCTGGCTCCCGCCTGTCCTCTTTCAGAGCGTTGCTTCTCCTCCTCTGGCATCAGGAGTCCCTGTCCCTAACCCTGACCCCTTGCCCGTTTGCCCTCGAGCCCCCAGTGCTTACGACCAGAGTCCCAACTCGCTGTGGAACTGGTGGGGACCCCAGCATCCCAGCTGGGCTCTGGGTGGCATCATGGAGGTGGGCACAGGCCAGTCTTCCTGCGCCCACGGGGACAGCTCTGCCACGCAGCGGACGCCTGGGTATGTGTGACTGGGCTCAGCAAGGGCAGGGCTGCTCGTTGGCTTGGCCACCATTCAGCCAGGGCACTGAGCAGTCGAGGCCCCTGGATTCTGGGGAGATGCAGGGAAGGAGGCCCGGGCTGCCCTTAGGAGGACGCAGAGGGGCGAGGGCTGGGCAGGCCTCTGGCATTGCAGCCCAGGCCGGGGCAGCTGAGGCAGGACCCCAGAGCACCGTGGCACTGGGGGGTGACTCAGGGGTTAGCTGGTGTCGTGGGAGGCTCGTGGTTTCATCACTGGCTCCACCCCTATCAGCGTGGTGACCTCAGCCTCCTTTTTCTCACCCGTGAACTGAGCTGACAGTGTCTCCTGTACCTGGGGTCATGCCTGTCACAGCCTCACCCTTTCTGGGCTGCCTGGCACAGACTGGGGCTCAGAAATAGGGTGCGCATGTGCAGAACAGCCCCAGCAGGGCAGGGGTCAGGGGCTGGCCTGGGCTTCCGCAGGCCCTGGAGTGAGGAGCAAGCATGAGTGCTGGCAGGCAGGGCACCATGCTCGCCCCTCAGCCTCTACACACCTCCATCTGCCTCCTCGCCAGCTGGCCGAGACTGCCACCAAGTCCTCCACCATCACGTGGCTGGGTGGCTGGTGACTTGGGCTGTGAGGCCACAGCTGGGCTTGGCGGCGGGCACCCTGCCCAGGCCTGAAGGGCACCACATATGGCTCTGGATGTCCAGCTTTGCCTGCGGCGTGCCCGTGCCAGGTTGTTGGGGCCTCGTTGTCAGGGCCGTGTCCCCGAGGGCTTGGCTTCTGGCCTTCTCTTTCTGTAGCGATTCTTCTCCACTGGTAATTCCCAGGTGATTGGAGCAGGGTGCAGGGTGGCTGAGACCCGAGGGCGAGAGGCAGCAACTGCGCACCCCACAGCCTGAGGGCACCCTGGCTTGCCTGGTGCAGGGTCACCGTCCTGCCCTGGACAGACAAGGAGACGCCTCCTCTCCTGAGTTCTGGGGGGAGAGGCCAGCAGGCTGGATGAGCCCCAGTAGGGTGGGAACCTGCTGTAGCCTCAGTTTCCCCACCTGGCTCACAGCAGCGGTGAGGATCAGATGAGCCCCCTCCCCGGGCTGGCCCCGAAGTGGCTGTGTTGTGGTAGCTGCGGTCAGAAGGGCAGCGGGCATCAGCCCCTCGTCTGCCTTGTGGGCTGTGGAGCCTGCTGCCAGCCTCAGGCAGGGCCGCAGGGTGATGGGTGCTCCAGCTCGGCCCAGAGTAGGTGAGGCTGTGAGTATAGCTGAGAGAGCGCCTGGGTGTTCAGGGGTCTTGCTCTCAGCCCCCTCAGGGGGTACTTCCCCGATAAACCCAGCCGGGGTCCCTGTGAATAAAGGGGCTTCCGCCCTCTGAGGAGCAAGGTCCCTGAGAAGGAAGGGGTGGGGGAGGGGCTCTGAGGGTGGAGCTGCCGCTCAGGTCCCTCCGGCCAGGCCCACACTCCCTGAGCGGTGGCCTCCACTGTGAGCTGGTAGCGCCAGAAGGCAGAGAAGTGGGCACCTGGGGGCGGCCTCATTACCACGACGACCCCTGCCCTGCGGGCACCAGCTCCCCAGCGTTGGAGTCCATGTGAGCTGGTGCTGGCTGCAGGGGAATGAAGGGCTGGTCTTCACGGGGGCTGCAGGGGAAGGAAGATCTGGTTTTCACGGGGGCTGTAAGGGCAGCAAGGGTCATTCCCTTTCGGGGGGATGGAGGGGGTGGTCAGTGGCCCGGGGAAGCAGCACGTAGCCCGGCACCATTGCAGCCCGGGAGAGGGAATAAATATTTACCATGCACAGGCCCAAACACTCTCAGCTCTGCCAAATATTGTTCACTGCGGTGGTCGGTTTCTGTCCGGGCAAGTGGTTTCATGTCCTGCCAAGACGGGGTTTGCGAGGCGCTCCCAGAGCGTCTCTGCAGTGCGCGTGCATGAGCCCACGCTTCCGGGAAGCGGCCGCCCGCCGGCCCCTGGCCCTGCTTGTTTGTTGGGTCAGGGTTCCCAGGGCCCACCTCCGGCCTCCCATGCAGCAGCCCCGGCAAGCTGCGGGTGTTTTGTTACCCAGAGATGGCAGCCTGGCTGCCCCGGCCGCTCCCAGAGGCTCAAGGGCCCTTGATCTCAGGCTGTTGGCTGGGCCCCTGGTCACCGCCCCTGCAGACAGCGGCAGAGATGGGGGAGGGTGGCTGGCTGTGGGGTCTGCAGGCTGCGGGGCAGGCCCGGGGCGGCTGCATCTTCTACTCCTTCGTTTTCTCTTCCTGTGTCTGTCTGTCTCGCCTCTGTCCCTGTCTGCCTCTCTCTCCGTCCTCCCGCTGCGCACATCCACGTGAGCTGTTGTCCTTGCAAACACAAAGGCCTCAGAGCCCTGGGACCCGTGGGCCTGTGCCACGCAGAGAGCTGTGCGAGAGTCTCCTGCCACTGCTGCAGTGAGCCCTGGAACCAGGTGGCTTCAAAGCAGCAGGGCTTTGTTCTCTCCCAGCTCCAGAGGCCGGAAGTCTGAGATCAAGGTGCGGGCAGGCTGGACCCCTGCAGGGGCTCTGAGGGGGCGTCTGTTGCAGCCCCCAGCTTCTGCTGCCGGCATCTGGGAGTGCCTTGGCTTGTGGCCGCCACTTCTGTCTCTGCCTTCCTCTTCACACAGCCATCCCCTGTGCCCGCGTCCAAATTTCCCTCTTCTTATAAGGACGCCAGTCACTGGATTAGGGCCTCCCATCCCCTGTGAATGACCTCATCTTAACTTGATTGCAGGTGAAGCAAAGACCTTATTTCCAAGAAGTAAGGTCACATCTGGGTGGGCCTGAATTTGTGTGGACATTAGTCACTGCAGAACAAGCAGCGGGAGACAGGGCGTCCGGGTGGGCAGGTGGCACAGGTGGCCGTCTGTCTTGCTGGTCCTTGCTAGAGTGAGGGTGGAGGCTGCTTGGGCAGCGGAGGGGTGAGGACCCAGGCGTCAGGGTGGCTCCCCGGGGAAGGACGGCAGGGTTGGTGGGCAGGTCCTGGGGTTGATGTGGCCCATGCTCTGAGGAAGCAGGAAAGAAGCTTCCTCGAGAGGCAGCGAACCTTCCAGAAGGCAGAGGAGTAGGCACCCGTGTGGCAGAGGCCTTGTTCCCCTGATGACCCCAGCCCTGCATGAATGAGCTCTCTGGTGGCAGTGGAGCCTGTGTGAGCTGGTGGTGGCTGCAGGGCAATGAGGGGTCGGTCCTCACAGGGGCTGCGGGGTCTGCAGGCGCACCAGTCCTCTCCAAGGGTCGTTCACTTTAGGGGCCATGGAGCGGGTGGTTGGCGACCTGTGGGGGCAGCTTGAGTTGGAAGAGTCCCAGGCAAGGAGGAATTGAGACTTAGGAGCCCCGGGCCGGGGGTGTGATTGTGGGAGGCTTGCTGGGGCTATGTGGGCTGGGGTGCCCCCACCTCCCACCCTCCCTCTGCTCAGGGCGAGTCCCAGAGTGGCAGAGGCAGGCCCCTTGCCAAATGCTCTGCCAAGACTTTCCATGCAGGGGGCTGGTGATGCCCGCAGGAGCAGGGTGGAGACAGGGGCTGGGCAGGGGATGGCGCAGGGTGTCCTGAGGTGACCGGGCTTTGTGGGCTGCACGGTGTTGGTGGCCTGGGGCAGCCTCTGGACTTGGGGAGGGGGATGGCGTGTTCTCTGGGTAGCTGGGGTCTCTCTGGCTGTGGGCACCTTCTCCCGCTGGCTGGGTTGGGCTGCCCATTCCCTACCATTTTCTGCTCAGCCTTAGTGACAGCCCCAGCCCGTCCCGTCCGAGCAGGAGCCAGCCTGTGGACCAAGGCTGCCCTGGCCACACTGCCCCCGGGAAGCCCTCCCTGCCTGCCCGCTATGGCATCTCCTCTCTGACCTGGGCCCACACAAGTCTTCCTGCTGCTCCCCATAACCACTTCTTCCAGGGCCCCTCTGTCTCCCCAGCTCAGCTTTGTCCTCCTAGGTGTAGGGGTCGGTGGCCATGGCACCTGTGTGTGGGGCTCCTACTGGGGCCATCTGCTTCACTGGTGGACTGAGAGTATGGAGTCTGAACTGGCACCTCCCGTGTCTGGCACAGCCCACCCAGCCCCGGGCACCACGGGCCCACTTGGCTCCATCCCAGAAGCCATTCTGACTCCAGGGCTAGGCACTCTCTAGGCACTGAGAGCCAGGTGAGCGGTGAGATGCGCATCCCAATGCCAGCCTGGAGCCAGGACCACCGTGGGAGGGAAGAGGCAGTGGGGTAGTGTGTTCCCGGGTTGCATGCAGCACAAGGCCACTGTCACTGGCTCCAGCACGGCCCCTGCTGCCTCCATGCTGCCCCTCATTCAGAGGAACCTGGCTGGGCATTAGCATCAGCCACCCCACTTGAGAACCGTGATTCCACAGCCTGTGCAGCTGGGAACCCGGCTGACGCAGAGTCAGTCTCCCCAGGGGTGAGTGAGAGCCAAGTACAGCCGGTCCTGCGATGGTAAGCACTTCCCTTCTCTCTTTCTTTCTAGAACTGTCTACTACATGGGCTACAGGCAGGTGTATACCACGGAGACCCGGACCGTGCTCAGGTGCTGCCGAGGGTGGACGCAGCAGCCCGGCGAGCAGGGCTGCCTCTCGGGTGAGTGCCGCCTGCGCCTCCCTGCCCTCCCCTCCACCTCCACCGCAGATGACTCAGTAGAGTCATGAATCTGCGCCCGGCCTGGTGGGGATCGCCCTTCCACGGCAACACGAGCGACGCAGGGGCCACTCGCTCAGCAACGCCGCTTGCCAAAGGCTGCAAAAGCAACCTCAGCCGAGGCTGGCAGAGCTGTGGAAAGAGAGCTGGGGCCGGGTGGGGTCAGTCCACTTTGCTGGCTCTTCCAGAGGACGGGAGCCTGCCATTGGTAGGGTGTCTGAGGGTATCCTGGGGGCACGCATTGGTGTCTGTGGGTTCATGTACCCCTGAGCCTAGTTCGGGGTTCACCTGCCACACCACGCTCACCCCCGGCTCCCTGAGTCCCTCTCCCTGCCCCATTTCCCTATACCATGTTCTCCCAAGGCCAATCTGGGCGGGTGGCAGGCCTCAGCCTCCATGGGTGCGAGGGAGCCGCTCCTTCCTCTCTCTGTATGTAACCAGCACAATTCGAGAGGCCCATGCTGCATACAACCTGACCCGGGCAGGTGCTGGGGTGCTGGGTCTCGGAGGTGCGGGCCCAGGACTGGAATTGGGTGGTCTGAGCTGAGTGGGCGGCTCTCAAGCCTCTGGTTTGTGAAAGGACTGGCGTTCACAGCTACAGAGGTGTTTGGGAAGAGTTTCAGGCATGGGGACAGGAGTCCCGCAGGTGCAGCTGCCTGGGCAAAGGGGTCAGTGTCCCCCGCTGGGAGGGGTCGGCACAGAGGTCGTGGGACCCTGTCCCATAAAGCTGGCCTCCGCTAAAACATTGAGGTGGCATCCTGCCAGTGAGGGGCACCATTGAGGTGGCATCCTGCCAGTGAGGGACAGGCTATGCCATGGAGTGTGCAGAGAGTCACGCACTCCCCACATTTTTATTTTTATTTTTTACTTTTTATGTTTATTTATTTTATTTTATTTTTTTGAGAAGGAGTCTCGCTCTGTCGCCCAGGCTGGAGTGCTGTGGCCAGATCTCAGCTCACTGCAAGCTCCGCCTCCCGGGTTCCCGCCATTCTCCTGCCTCAGCCTCCCGAGTAGCTGGGACTACAGGCGCCCGCCACCTCGCCCGGCTAGTTTTTTTATTTTTTTAGTAGAGACAGGGTTTCACCGTGTTAGCCAGGATGGTCTCGATCTCCTGACCTCGTGATCTGCCCGTCTCGGCCTCCCAAAGTGCTGGGATTACAGGCTTGAGCCCCCGCGCCCGGCCTTATGTTTATTTTTTAGAGGCAGCGTCTCACTCTGTCAACCAGGCTGGAGTGCAGTGGTACCATCACAGCTCACTGTAGCCTCAAAATCCTGAGATCAAGCGATCCTCCCAGCTTAGCCTCCCAAGTAGCTGAGACTGCAGGTGTGCACCACCACGCTGAATAGTTATTGTATTTTTTGTGGAGACAGGGTCTCAACATGTTGCCCAGGCTGGTCTTGAGCTCCTACGCTCAAGCAATCTTTCCACCTCGGCCTTCCAAAGTGCTGGGATTACAGGTGTGAGCCGCCATGTCTGGCCAACACTCCCCACATCGAGGGTTAACGGGCAGCGGGCTCCCCCGGACTCCGGTGACAGGAACAGAACCCAGCTGTAGGGGTCTTTATGGCAGGTAGTTGCCTGGAGCCGCAGGGGCTCTTCTCACACAGGAAGCGTGCAGACTGCAAACCAGGGCTGAAGTTGCCCGTCCTGGCTTGAGCTCCGGCAGGAAAAGGGGAAGAGAAGGGATGATGGCCGTGTTTTTCCATTAGAGGAAGTGGATAATTCTCTCCAGGAAGGGAGGAGAGTAACAAGGAAGAAGGAGGCGACGGGGCCTCTGCTGGCAGCAGGGAGGGGGTTGCTGGCCAGGCGCCCCTCGGAGGGGGTCCCAGCCTCCGCCGTCACTGATGGCGCCTGAGCTGTGCCCTGTTTCTCTGCTCCTGTCGTCTGGGAGGAACAAAGGGGTCTTTTTAGTGGGGAGGGGGCAGACATCAAAGCCAAGGTTCCCCTGAGTTTCCACTCTGAGGCAGGGATTCTGGGGCCTGCCCAAGGGGATTCTAATAATGGGGCGAAACAACAGGCAGCTTGGAGCAGGGTGGGGGCGGGGAGGGGAAATGGGGCTGCCAGTCCGAGTCCCCAGGTTTACAGGGGGAGAGCGGGCTTTTTGCTCCCAGGGGGGACTTGAAGGCCCAGCTGCATGGATGGCTGGGGCGGGGCTAGGGGTGTCCCTGGGCCTGGGGTCCTAGGTGGGGCAGGGGCGGAGAGCCTGGGCAGGGAAGGCAACTGCAGGTAGACGTGTGCGCGGCCGTGTTCCCCCGAAGCCGTCCCCTCTGAGCCCCGAGCTGGGCTCTGGCTATCCTCGTGTACACCTTGTATTCACCTCCATCAGCAGTGATCATCTCAGAGTCAGGCTCGAGGGCCGGGCCAGTCCCCTGAGGCTGCTTCAGCCTCTACTTGCTGTGGGGACATCAGGGTCTCGATGGTCCCAGCAGGGCCTAGTGAGTGTGGCCATCTCCATCACCAGCCTGGCCCAAGGTGAGCTTTGGGCCTGTCCTGCCAGCTCCGTCTGCCTGTGCCGTGGCCAGGCCCTAGGCCGCCATCCGAATATGGGACCCAGGGGCCTTAGGAGAACATGGTGGCTCTGCCCTGGCCGGGCTCTGCTGGCTGGAGTGGGGTGGAGGGCGTCTTGGCTGAGACCCTCACCAGGGCAGCCCGGGCTGGGCTGGGTGGAGGAGCTGGGCTGAGGCCGGGGGCGGGGGGCAGGGGAGGGTGGGGGTCCTGGTTGTCACGTCGGCGGGGTCCCCACACGGGTCCTGGACTTGAGCTTTTCTTATTGTTTTTAAAAATTCGTTTTTAGCGCAGGATTTGCTTGTTTGTGTGTTTTGCTTTTATTTGCTTGTTTTCATGGCCCCGGGAAGCCCTGTGATCTCCTTCTCCGGCCGCTCTGTTCACCCCCACGGCTGGGTCCCAGCAAGTGAGGGAGGCGGTGGGTGGGTGGGAGTCAGTGTTCACAGGGGCTATGCCTGAGCCCCAAGGGTTGGAGGGGTGTTGCCTGGCGTGTCCCGTGCTAGCCACAGAGTCATTTGTTTATTTGGTCACTCAATTGTTTGCTGGGTTTTGGCTCAGCTGCTGCCGAGTACTGGGGGTTCGAGGACCCTGGCAGCGGGTGCTCACCCATGTGGAGCCCATGGCTGGGAGGCTGACCGTGAGTGACGGTCATGTGGCCAGGGTGTGACGAGGCCTGCAGAAGTGAGGATGGGCAAATGAAGGCCAGCGGGGGTCTAGGGGGTGGTGCTGGGGACAGCAGGAGTGTCTGGGGGGCAGCCTGGGAGCCTGGAACGTCAGAGAGGGCGCAGTGAGTCAGGGTCAGTGGGCGGCCTGGCCAAGGCTTTTTGGACCTCCCCCACCACGAGGCCTCCAGTCCAGGCAGGGAAGCCTGTAGGCCCTTCCTCAAGCTGCCCCTCTCAGGGGAGTGGGCTGCACGCCGGGACCCACAGGCCTAGGGGCACCGTGCCAGCCTCTCTCTGGACCGGCTGCTCTCCCAGGGCCACTGTGTGAGGTGGTTGGGCCGGCTGGGGCTGGGGGCTTCTCTGCATCCCACAGGAGCGCCCTGGCAGGGCAGAATGGGTGGCCTCGGGGAGCCTGGCCTGGCCTGAGCCAGCATGTGGAGCAAGTGTTTGTTGATGGGCTGGATGCCGATGCCCGTCCAGGCAGCCAAGAGTGGAAAACATGGCTCAGTCCTGGGCTCAGTTCCCCCAGGTACCTGGTGAGCTCTGAGACCTGGTAGCAGCTCCCACCAGCCCCCTCGCTGGAGGCCCCATCAGGCCTCGAGCTCCAGGATGTGGGTGTGACAACGTCCACCTGAAAACCTGGGATTAAATGAGTCACTTCATGTGGAGCCTTTGTTGGTGCCTGTATACAGTAAGCGCTCAAGCAATGCCAGCTCTTGTTCTTAGAGGAGGAGGCCTGGGTGAAGCCTGCTTGGCCTATGGTGACTCCTGTTAGCAGCAGTGACCGTGGCAGTGGCACACACGGTGATCGGGCACCTCGGTCACGGCATCACTTGGCCAAGGGCTTGGGTGCAGGGGCTTGTGGGCAGGGCTCTCTGGTGACGGAGCCCAGGGCCTTACCCGCTGCTCGGTGGTTCTGGGACGTCTCTTCCCGCCTCCCCATGCTCAGCTGAGGCTCTGCCTTCCTGCCCCGGGTGAGCCGAGCGTTTCCGACACCACGTTCCAGCTCTGTTGTGCGCTTCCCATCTCTGCCGGCTCATGCAAGGAGGGCAGGGCGCAGCTGCTAGCGGGGTCGGGGCTTGTGTTGGGTGGGAGTCTCAGGGTCCCTGCAGGTGCCAAAGCCCCTCAGCCCCTGGGAGGCTCTCCCTCTGTGGGGTCAGCTGAGATCACACGTGGCTGCTCATGGTCTCCCCAGTCAGTGTGCCTGTGGGCATTGGGGCCACACCCAACCAGGGTCCTCCCTGCTCCCCAGCCCAGGGCACCGCTGTCCTTGAGAGCCGGAGGATGGCAGTGGGGTGCACGCCCCCGTGCAGGACAGATGCTCACTGTTTTTTTGTTTTTTTTTGTTTTTTTTTTTTTGAGACGGAGTCTCGCTCTACCGCCCAGGCTGGAGTGCAGTGGCCGGATCTCAGCTCACTGCAAGCTCCGCCTCCCGGGTTTACGCCATTCTCCTGCCTCAGCCTCCCGAGCAGTTGGGACTACAGGCGCCTGCCACCGCGCCCGGCTAGTTTTTTGTATTTTTTTAGTAGAGACGGGGTTTCACCGTGTTAGCCAGGATGGTCTCGATCTCCTGACCTCGTGATCCGCCCGTCTCGGCCTCCCAAAGTGCTGGGACTACAGGCTTGAGTCACCGCGCCCGGCCAGATGCTCACTCTTTAGAGGGCCCTGTGGGTCAGGGCTTGGCTCTGCCTTTGCCTTCCCTTTTCTCACCCTTTGCCCCTTCCTCGTTTCTTTGTCCCCCTCCAGCCCCTGCTGGCAGGGGAAGGACAGGGGAG